GGGGGAGGTGATTTTAAAGAATAAAGCAAAGGCACCCAGTATGATAAAACCAACAATTAACATTTAATTTGTATGCCATGTTCATATCAATATGTATTCATTTGTCGAGTCAACGTGGATCAATTGATAGTGCGGCGGTATAGAAGCCAGAAGATGCAAATTCGAATCCCACACGACACAACAAAAGTTTCATTGTGCTCAGAAATTCAGGAAAACATACCTAACGATTCGTATAATATGTATTTTTGAGCTATTGTATTTCAAATGCAATTAGGCATGCACATTCTATCTCGCGTTGCTGAGTTTGCCGGTCAAAATGTTTGGACGTAAAATATTCGTCTCGCCTACGCGAGATTCCGCCTTTTTCTGTCGGAATCTCACCACTATAGGCGAGTTTCCCAGTTGCATCATGTAAACAGTCACGCAGGAAAACTGGTAAATTTGTATAATAGCCACCAGAATCTATAGCTCGCCGTTGCTGAGTAACTCGTTTTGCCGGGCATGCAGAGCCCGTCCATATTGTTACGAAAGTATATTTAAATAGTATAAAAATAGTTCAGTTTGCACCCCGGGTAATTATAGATACTATAGGTACGTCAAATGGAGAGATAATGAGCATTTTTGCAGTAAAACTCAGATAAAGTATATATCATTTCGGACTTGTGTAAAAGTGTCAATTGTCTGTCCATTAGGCAAGATAAATAATTTGTCAATTTGTCAAAGTTGGACGATAACCTTGCATGGTGGGCTGTTGTGTTTACATAATTCAAAGTCCAAGGCTGGTTCTTCTCTGACATGAAAATGTGCATGCTTAGGGTCTTTCTGTCAATCATTCTTCGGTATATTTCGCGTGGTTGAGTAATGATAACATTACGTCATCAAGATCTTGGTTCAATAAAATTGTAAGTAAATTTAGTTTAGTAGGTAAAGTAAAGTTCACATAGGTATAGGTTGAAGTTTTACTATGATATTTCAATATTAATGATGATCGATTGAACAGCGAAACAACTCGACCAGCGCGACAACGCCTTAAATAAACAGAATTTGAGGGCTGGAACGAGCTAACAACGCCAACCCACACTTTCAAACCTCAACGTTGATTGGCTGGATACAAATCACACCACTTGCTACATCACGTGTGTAAAGATCCCTCAACCGTTAGTATAAAAGGGCGTGCACAACCGAAATTCGTCAGTGGACTATAGAGTGAAGTCAGTGAACGTAGACTCGCTAGTGGATGATCTCCCTGCAGTGGACAGTGAACTATAGAGTGAAATAAAGTGAACTTTAGAAAACTACTGCAAGAAGACTAATACTAAGAACTGATAGTTATTTAAGATTGATTGTAACGATTCACTACTTAAATTAAATAAAGCCTCGTAACTAGATCATATAAACAGATTCTAAAAGGGAAAAGTTGAGGGAAAGTTTCTTCAAAAGGTCCATTTCTGCATTTTCCACTAATTCCACTACTTACAGCGGTCTTACCCATTACAACTCTCCTGTGTCCATTCATTTCAGCCCCAATTGTCCCTAACTATCCATGGACAATAAAAACTTACCAAATATCGAAGACTATCAAACTTTTCTTTGTTGTTTCCCGGTTTAAAAAAAGATGACGGAAGCTTCCTTCTTTTACAACATCAGGTCTTTTGACTTCTTCATCAGGCAATTCTTTCTTATTGACCTTCGCAATTTTTGCCAGGTGTTTTATTGCCTCGTCATATTTGTCTTTCACTAGTAACCACCGTATTGACTCTGGTGTCAACCTTGAAGAACATGATGCTAATCACATGCAATGCTGGATTTAAAGTCCATTACGCAGGGTCAGAGGTCAGGAAAGGGGGTGGTTTTCGGAGAACGTTCCACGTGAAAAAAATTTCACGTTTCACATGGAATAAATTAACCATTTCACGAAAATTGAAAAATAGGCTTTTCATAGTCTGATAAATTATATTTTCAATGTTCAGTATTATGCAGCTAATTGCTCGCCAGAAAGTTTAACATTGAAAGACTTTTTCAGGAAATACATGCATGGATATACAACAATTAAGGTTGTTCTCGAAGAAAGCGGAAACGTCGAATACTAGTGCGAAAGGCTGCTGGGAATCGCTAAAAAAATAGTGAATTTTTTAGCAATTCCCAGCAGCCTTTCGCGATCGTATATGTTCGACTTTTCCGCTTTGCTCGGGGACAACCTTAATTGAAATAGCTGCATGTATACCTGCAGTACAACTGTCAAATGTAAAGCAAAGCTTTTCGGCTTTATGTTTCCACTTATCACTTCCCGTCCGGTATTTGTTCTGCCGGCCTCGAATAAATTCTCTTTTCCCGGAGAAAAATGCCTGGCACACTGTCATGGCTCACTGCCAGGCATGAAATCACTTTTCACGACACCAAAATTCGCCATTTCAGTCATGAGAAGAAACATTGGCAATTCGAGCATTGTTCATGAAAGTGCTCTTTGTCACCCCGATGGGTAAAACCCCTCACCACTTGGCTCCGCCGCAATTTTCAGTTTCATAAACCTCCTGGGTTTGCATCATATCCAGTGAATATGAGATGAGATATTCACCACAAGAAGCACGCGTTTAAATACGCGTGTTGTGCTTGCATAAGTGTAGTAATTTTGTATCTAGTATTGCTTGCTCGGTTTCTTTTCAACTCTCGCCTTCAAATTAATTAACATTGTTGAGATCATGAAATTGTAAAATCATGCATTCCATTAAACGTTTGGCCGGTATATATTCGCAGTTTTCCGGCTATCGTTCTAATGCTTTTACGCGAAGATCTCCACTTCTTCAGATAACACGCGCGACTCTCGATAGCCTATCATTGACTGTGGTACTTTTTGGATAACTTTGTTTAGTTAGAGGAATTAAATCTATATTTCGAGATGATATAATATCTAGAATGTTTTACACATTGAACTAGTGAACAGTTATTATTTTATAACGTTTATATGATGCATTAGTTACTCAACGAAAACGAAGGAATATTCACCTATATATTAAAATATAGGTTATTGTTTAGCAAATGGCTACAAATTGAATCAAAACTACTGAAGTGTTACATAGTCTTTGGGATGTCATGTGTTATTTTGGTTTTAGGCATACTGGCGTACATATACTGCATTGTTGAAATATACTGCACTGTTTTGTTTGTGTTGATTATTAAAAGCAGTTTGGCGTGGACTGTGATGCAGGAAGTGAAGAAAAAGGATAAGGCATATTTGTTGTTGGGATCATATCTTACTGTTCGCACTCAAAATTACCAAGTCATGGTGTTGTCTCGTCTGAAAACAAAGATAAATTTGATGTTCCTCAAGGCTCCATTTTATGTCCTTTTTTTCCTAATTTACATAAATGTCTTCTCTGGATGCCTAAATAGGACAAAGCCAAGACTTTTCGCAAACTTAACTGCATCCGGAGGAACAATTAATGATATAGTTTGAAGTAACAAAATGAGAGCAAATCCAGGTTTTGAAGATTTCGTGTTGGACTAAGCGTCACCAAATTTCTTGAAACTTTGATAGCTTGTGGAAGACAGTCCATAATATGACTCTGTGTGATTAAATTTTGTTTCCAATGAAAAATATTTTTCGGCAAGGCCTCTTTTGGCAGAGTTTTAGTAACTGCTTTCCTACTCGAACTAAACGCTAGCATATTAATTAATTTTAGTGCGTGCCAACGAACGTTAAAGTACCTAGCCTTACTGAACGTTTTCGCAAATGACGCGCGCATTTGACTTTGGTTAACTTTTTCCAACTGTCTACTTTTTTCTGATACACCCTGTATAGTCACTTCAAATTAAACTAGAATTGACTAAAAATTGAAGTATATATTTTTGTCACTTAAGGAAATATGTTGATCTTTTAGCAAACTTAGTTTAACTTACCACCAGTAACATAGACAAGGTGTACCCATTGCGGCAATGGCAAGCAGCAGGTCCCTCCAATTTGGTAAAAGATAAGCTAGAAGAGCCAGAAGAAGCAATCCAACCGGCCAGAAATTAAATAAATAAATTCCGAGTTTTGCTCGATGCCTCGAACTCGTATATTCGGTCAGTAAAACGAATGTTATCACCATCAGGGCTCCTGAATATAAGAAAATTAACACTCATTAAGTGATAATAATAATTTACTATATGGAAAAAAACATGCAAGAGCATTCCTCAGAAAACTATGTTTAGTCAAATTGTTACGTTACAACACTATTGGAACATTTAGAAATGAAGATCTGCACAGTTTAAATCTCTTTACGGTATTTTAAAGTGGGAAATAACAGTCATGTAATCTGATTGCGCCATAATGCATGCACTGGCTTTGTTTTTCAGTTTTTCTTGCTTTGTTGCCAAAACAATATGAACAGAATACACCCTTTCGATAATTACGTCACACATACCCTTTGGTCTTGGGACCTGGCTCTCATTAGTAAATTACGCAAGGTGATTGGCTCACGATTCATGAGAGCGAGGCGCCCAGGCCAATTAGCCTTTCTGACGATGACGAATATCCGCCATTTTTGGAGGCGGCGTGAGAAAGGCTACACTGTTAATTTCAGGGAGTTATTTTAACTCCACCATACGAGTTAAAACTACTCAACTCGGGAGAGTAAAAATAGTGGAGTAAAATCTACTCCTAAAATAGAGTTAAAACTACTCCACTTCGGCCCGCATTACACAATTTACTCCATCAGGAGTCAATTTTACTCCGCTGGAGGAGTAAACTAAACTCGCATTTAGGAGTAGAAATTATGGAGTAATTTGTACTCCTTAATTTTACTCCAGGGGTCGTTTCAACTCCCAAAAAATAGTAAAATTGTTCTGGATCTGGAGTAAATTATTATACACTTAATGTCTGCTCCCGAGGGAAATAGTTAGTTTTGTTTTCCCAAGAGTCTCAATGTTTCCCGAGACGAAGTCGAGGGAAACATTGAGATTCGAGGGAAAACAAAACTAACTATTTCCCGAGGGAACAGACATTATATATAGCGACGAACAAAAATCAACTTCAACAACATTCATATACAACAATTGTTTTTCGTGGCAAAAACTCTATAGAGTAAACGAGTTTAAAATTAAAGAACCTACTTAAACGGTTTCGGCAGCATATCCTGTTTCCTGTTCTGTATTTTTCTTCCCTTTTACATTCTTTATTTGAACAAACTTGGAAAATCGTAGTTTATAATTATCGTAGTTGTGCCGCCATTTTGTTTATTTATGTACGTGGCCGGTCGGGGCGGGCAACAATTTTTCACTTGTTGCCCGGCGGGAAACATTGCATTTATCTAAAGTCACGTGACCACAAATCAGCCAATCACGTTTAGTGATCACGCTAGCTATATAACAATTATCATTTATATATAGACCTGGAGCGAGGGGGATTCGGCGAAATATCATCACTGAGGGTAATATTTCGCCGAATTCCCCGAGCGAAGGGTCTATAAATGATATATTATACCGAAAATTAAAAGCCTCCAAGTTGAGAAATAAAAACTTGACACATACCTTCGTGAATACGATGTTTTATTTTCGGATTAACGCAAGTATCGTCGATTTTCTTTCGAATCACATATCGTTTGGAATATTTATGACAACATTTTTCAAAATTTACTTCAAAATTTTGAAAAAGCCCCAGGTTTTACATCATTTACCCAGATTATTCATCACTCATCAATACTATTTATATTTTGTCGGCCATGTTGTTGTCATGCGTGTTGTCTCGCGTGGTCTACGCGAATAATGTTCCACCCCATGTTCCCCCGGGAACATGGGGTGGAACATTGTCAAAAAGAACGCAAACTCGCTAATTGATGACGTAAGGGGTGATATCGCGATTAATTTCATGCTCACGTGGCACAAACTAAGCTTCCTGATTGGACAATTTGAATTTGAGGTATAATATTACAATATATAACTAATGTGCCTGAGAATGCATGAGTTTTTCTGCTGGAGGCTACTACTCTATTAAAGTATTGAATACAGGCAGATGCGAAAAGCACGAAATTTGAAATATAAAGTTGTTTTTTTTAATTTTACGTTTTCGGTTACTCGAATGTTGCCAAGTCAGATTGATGCCATTGATGTATTATACCGTATATCGGCTTCAATCGCACGCGGCGATCGAATGTAGCCAGAAATTGTCGACGAATCATCTATATTTTTTATTTGCTGGCCTAAATCTGTAATTTGAACGTGTGGAATGTTCTGCTACTGAATTCTGCTGAATATAATTTGCGACAAGTGGAAGTTCCAGAGTTTCAACCAATTAGCATGCTTAGAATATATCACGTGTTGTAGTAATTCGATCTGGTTCACACAAAGACCAAGCGCCAAGTTCAATCCTTTGGTAACCTGAAGTTCAGGCTTCAATTTGAAATAGGGCCTGACACAAAACCCGTCTAGACCGTGGGACGCCCACATGGTATTTTTAGACACAACATGCAATATGATTGACAAGTGTTGTAGATTTCGTTACACAAAAAAATTATATTCTCATGAACATGTCCGCAAAGTGTGCAGTTTGCTTTATAATTAAACTTAAAAATTCAAGGTACTTTTATATAAATAAGATTCAGACAAAGATTTAATTAGTCAGTTCTGTGCACGGCTTGACTGCCAAGCTTTCTCAAGGTCTCAACTTGCTGGACGCGGATATTAGGGATATACTTTATTAAAACGGGCTAAGAACAGCAACAATGAAATTCTCAATCGTACCACGAAGAAGGCGATGTAGCTCAGAAAACAATGCCGGTAGGACCTGATATTAAAAATAAGACTTTTGCCGGCGAAGCCAGTTGGCAGAACATCTTGGCTGTCAACAACAAGCTTTCGAATACATGACTTAGTTTGGCTGTTCTTTCGGCGTCGTGTGTCCAAAATTCGTCCAAGATTTTGATAAAGCCCTTTCAAAATACTGTTTGTTTGATTTATTTTCTGCCATAAATCATAAAAGAAAAACAAATTCGAAGAAATCGATAATAGAATTTGTACGTGCGTTTGACCTTCATATTAATTGTCGCCTTGACCGAGCTATTTTTAAAACTGTTGTTTATGTAAACTTGCAACCAATCAAAATCCTTCATGATGCTGATCAACCAATCAGATTTCCTGTCCACCAGATGGACGGGAATCCCACACTTTAGATAGGTTTTGAAGGCCTGTATTTTAGTCGCTTCGCCGCCGATTTGCCGATCTAGACGTTCAATTTTAATTTTCGATTAATTTGTATTAGGAGAAGTCCATAAGTATAATCTACAGTCTCTACTTATATGTGTTGTTAGCCCCGTTTACACGAGCAAATTTTATTTGACAAATTTCATTTCATCAAAAGCATTTGATCAAAAGCTAGCATGCTAGCTTTTCTGCTTTTGTTCAAATGCATTTGTCACAATAAATTTGTCACAAATTTATCATCTACACGAGCAAAATATCTCTGACATATGAAATTTGTCAAATAAAATTTGCTCGTGTAAACGGGGCTTTATTTGTGTGATATACATGTATGTTGTATTTCGTGTTAAATGTGTATACTTTTATATATGTGATCTGTTTGAAATGCAGTCACATTTGACAGCATTGCAATATCCCATTTAATATTACCCAGTGTATGGCATGTGCTTGCTATGGTAGCCCTCCTATCGGCTATCAGTCAGTCTAAAACATGTGTAAGGGGCTGCTTATATAGAGGCGAGCCACCCAGGTAACCTGGCTATAGCTCGCTTTCCCTGGATGAATGTAGAGGTTACATGAGCCTCTTTAGATGGGCAGGCTTGCCAAAACAAATCACCCAGACTGAGTTATATAGTAGAAGTACATTTCCCAATAATGTGAACCAACAAGTGATCAATCACTCATACTTTTGCAGACAGTCTCGAAATGTATAAACTGACAAAAACAATCACAGAGATCTTTTTACCCAGGGCCCAGGGGTAATACTGTGCCAAACCGTGGGTGATTGTATAAAATTTATATGGAAAATCCTAGCTTGGCATTAGCAATAAATTTTGGGTCAATTATGCACCTCTATTTTAAACACCCTTTACCAGAAAAGTTGCATTCATTTGGATGATGTTAGTTCAATTGCATGCTTACATTAAATGAGTAAAATATTTGAATATTGTATTTCTTGCTTTGTATATGCAAACAACCAAAAATAGCAAATTCATTGTCAATCAATCAATCAATAATTTTTATTTTGTGTGTGTTGGTGTTATGTACTCAAGTGAATATATGTTTGTGATGTTACTGTGAGTGTGCATCCACACCGGGCAAAAAGTTAGCTTGGCCACAGTGGGAATCCAACCTGTGACCGTGGCCAAGCTAACTTTTCAGCTTGCCCAGTGTGGATTTGCTGGAGAGCATTTTTGTGAATTACCAAACCATGCAAGGGATGGAGTTGCCGACTTGTAGTATACAGCTTGTTTTGTACTAAATTTTTACTAATGGACTTGCTTGACATGTTTGATTGAGCAGTGACACTACATACATTTAATACATGCAATATATTTTACTTGTAAATATTCTACATTGAACAGAATATTAACCCTTTAAGTGGCAATTTGCTTTACTTTTTAGTGTGAAGTTTCACTTCACACTATTGTGATGGCTGGCGAATTCACACGAATCAGTCAAACAGTCAGTCAGTCAGTCATAGAGTAAACTTTCCTGGGGGTGTATACGTTTATGTTCGCAGTGATTTATTGTACTTAGTCAGTGCTTTGAAGGTTATTTAAGCAATTTTATTTATTTTCTTTAAAATATTCTTTTGTTCTTTTGCCAAGTTCACAAAAATTTCGAGGAATCGTTGTCGTTATTGTAAATTTTTGTAATTTTAAAACATTTGCCTCTCATGTTGTGTAAAGGATCTTCCCCCCGGAACGCCCGATTTTTTCATATAGCAGCGCAAATGCGCATGCGCTATGAAGCCGTAGACCACGATTTCACGATGTTACAGGAAGGAGCGACAGTGTTGTTTTCAAATGTATAAACATTTCAGACATGAATATTGAGTAAATCTTTGAGAATCTACGCAATATATGAATTTATGTTGTGCATGACGGTCTAAATTCAATCAAGTACTGATATATGTAGACGGTATATTCATTAGACATTATGCAGAGCTAGGAAGGAGCGACAGTGTTGTTTTCAAATGTATAAATATTTCAGACGTAAATATTGAGAAATTCTAGGCATTCATGTTATTCATTACGGGCATTCAATTAAGTTCCGATATTATTTAGACGGTATACTCATTTATATATATAGCGACTGTATAAGATGCTACTGCTGCTACACTAAGTACACTGAAAACATCGTAGTACACTCGCAAGCACAGAATAAATACGCAAGTATGATTAAATACATTGGATCACCCACACATGCAGCACGTGTCAATCATGCGTGTTTGGCAGTCTAAATATGGACATGATTATATAGGGTTCAGAGATCAGCGTTGCATAACACCATCACGTGCTAATATTCAATAATATGATTGGCTGCTGCATCAAGTCCACACAGCGAGAATTGCATCACACATACCAGTATTCAGCAGAGCGTAAACAACTTAATATAGAAGGCAATTTGTATGGCGTTTACGAAGAAAATACCTCGCGACACTAAAGCAAATCTCTTGACTCGTCAGAGCTCTTTATTTAAACGAGAAAGACGAGGAGATAGCCCACCGCCCACGTGTTATCGCCAATCGCTTGACTTGCCAGCGAGCTTTATGCAATAGAAGAGAAAGGCAAAAGGAGATAGCCCACGTGTTATCGCCAATCGCTTGACTTGCCAGCGAGCTTTATGCAATGGAAGAAAAAGGCAAGGAGGTAGCCAGCGTGTTACCGTCACAGACCTTGTTCACGGGTCTAGTACAACGGTGCAAAATCGTGTTCAGTGCCAGATCTAACGAGAATCTATCTGTATCAAAGCTTATCAATACTGCTATAAACACTGCTATAAATGTGAAACTATTGAAATCTAAAGTGACATTGAATTCACGCGAAAACGTGAAAGTGACTCATGAAACACAAGGTGACCTTGGGAATGAGTCAAAGGTCAATGAGACTTGTTATTCTGAAACATGTCACAATTCTAGTACAGAAAAAATAAACAAAACTCTACCGCATTACCAAATTTCAACAACACGCATGCGAGTATAGTGAAAGAACTATTACCTTTGCCACCAACTCGTCCATATAATAATTTTAGTCGAAGTAGATCACGCAGTAAACATTTAACACATGTCAAAAGCCGAGATCGAGAGCCGTCTAGAATTCCCGTTAAAAAGTTAGTTCATTTGATGAACAAAAATAGAAAAAGTAGGCGTTTAATAAAACGGTTTATTAAGCAGTGTATTCCTAAATCATCTTGCTTTCACAATTTGCTTTCCACAAGATACCGAAAAGATATAATTCTGCAACAAACAAATGCATATATGTGGAAATTTAGGAAGCCATTTCATGCTAAGTCTAAGAGAATACGAATAGTTGTACATAAACAATTGTCAATGACAATGCACAACTTGGCAATTCTGAAAAACAGTACAAAGCGTGCTAGAACTAGAAAACATAAATTGTTTAAGTCATACAGCGTTAAAGTTGTGGGCTGTAGTAAATGTAATATGCAAAGAATAAAGACATCTGACAGAAATTTCTTATTTGTGTCTGGTGATGTAGAGTTAAACCCAGGACCCGTAAATACTTCAAATATGTCAGTATTGACAACAAGACTAGCTCGAATAGGACGAAAGCCAGTGAACATTGTCGGTGATGGTAACTGTTTGCTTCGTAGTGTAAGTCGTCAGCTTTACAGAACAGAAAGTCGTCATGCCCAAATAAGAGCTCTTGCAATCCAACATTTAATAAACTGCCCAGAACATTTCGTAGAGTCTAATACTGAACAATCATGGTCGCATTATTTACAGAATATGTCACGGCTAGGCTCATGGGCAGACCATATTATCATACAGGCAGTTGCGAATGCAAATAATTTAAGAATTCACATCACAGAAAGTGCACAAAATTTTACTGAAACTACAGTTGTAACCTCTATTTATGCTCAGGGAAATGTAAGAGATATTTATATCGGACATCTTGACGAACTGCATTATGTTTCTACAACGCCAATTGAGCAATCTGCTTCTCAACAAATAGGAAATCAGACAGCAACTGATAAACAAAAATCAAACCCTCAAAATTCGCAATCTAATACTAATAGTAATAAACGTATCTCAGAAAACTCCGTCTCGATGAAAAAAATTCATAAAAGAAAAGAATACATGAAGGAATACATAAAAAAAAGAACGTCGAACAACGAATTTAAAAAAAAAGAAAGCGAGAGAAAAAAATCATATAATAAGAAATACAAAAACTCGAATTCTGAAAAAATTAAGGAATCTTGGCAAAAAGCCAGTGCAACATACAGACAATCAAATCCTGAAAAAATAAAAGAGAGTTTTAAGACAGTCAGTGCAACATACAGACAATCAAATCCTGAAAAAGTAAAAGAGAGTTTTAAGACAGCCAGTGCAACATATAGACAATCAAATCCTGAAAAAGTAAAAGAGAATTTTAAGATAGCCAATGCAACATACAGACAATCAAATCCTGAAAAAGTAAAAGAGATTTGTAAGACAGCCAGTGCAACATACAGACAATCAAATCCTGAAAAGGTCAAAGAATCAAGTAAAACAGCCACGGAATTGTCAAAATTGTCAAATATTACGTACAAGCAGAACTATTCGGAAAGAGTTAAGGATACTCAAAAAAGGAAATATCTTAAAAGAAAGTTAGAATGTGGTGAAAGTGAAACTAAGATGATTAAATATAATAAAGTAGATAATTCGAATGACAATTCATGTGAAACTTTGCAAATACCTGGTAACTCTGATGATTCGAGACAACAAATCGACGTAACAAAGGCAATTGAGTTATTTCATAAGAACATTAGTGTTGGACCAGAATATATTTGCACCTGTTGTGACCAATTATGGTATAGATCATCTGTCACTGAGTGAAATGTTTCTTTATATAAATCTTGTTCAAAAGAAATCCTTAATATATGTCTTACTGGTCTGAAAAGCATTGATAATACTGAATGGATATGTGGTACATGTCACTCAAACTTAAAAGTTGGTAAACTTCCAAGTTGCTCAAAGGCAAACAAAATGACTTTCCCAGAAAAGCCCGAGGTTTTAGAAAATTTAACACCTCTTGAAGAAAGACTAATTTCGCCAAGAATACCTTTTATGCAGGTATGGGAATTGCCTAGTGGAGGTCAATTAAGTATTCATGGGAATATAGTTAAGTGGCAGTCCCGCTAAGAACGGTCCGATGACTTTGACTTCGGAAAATACATTTCCTTTATTTTTTGTGTGTTGAAAGGCATTGGTATACAAGTGTCCAAAATAAATTTATTTTTCGAAAATTCTTTTTTATGGCTTCGCTAGACGCCGAAACTCATTTTATCCGTGCAGAGGCTATTTTCAAGCAAAATCGAAGGTTGAATTTCGGTAAATTGTAGAGCCGCGCTGAGTCAAAACGCCTGACTATTTCCAAATTTCAACAAGATCAACAAGTTAAGATACAATTCAGGTTCCCTGTTCCAAAAAATAAGAGCATTTGAATAAATCGTGAATAAACGAGAGCAACTTGACGGCGCACCGCTTTTTGCTTCTTGTTCTGTCTACAAAATTACACTAAAATTGAAGCCTGAGATCTCCAAATGGGGAACTAAAATTACGCTGAAATATGCTTGGCTGTAATGATTTATACTTATTTTCTGAAGATCTGAAGAAAAACCTGCGGGTATCAATCTGTATTTGGCGCGAGTTAAGATTTTCTGGAGCCCATAATCAATGATTTTTGCATAATTTATAGCTAATTAACATATTTCTTGAGAAGCGCTAAAAGTAAACAATTTCTTTCTGACTAACATATCTCAGATGAAAGAAACTACCACAGCTAGTAAAACCCTTTTTGTAAATATATTCGTAACATTCTTTTCCTGACACGCTGAGAGAGCTTTGTTTTTGAATGTTATGCCACATTCATCCAGTCTGACCAGATTCATAAATGTCACGAACTTGTATATTTCAAAAATATACCAGAATTCAGAAAGACCGATTATTCTTTCCTTCATTCAGTTGATTAATTTAGTTGATTGATTTAAAAAAACTATAAGTATAATAGAACATTCCACGTGTTTCCATTCCCCCTAGGCCTAGAATTTTTATCAATATGTTCATGGGCGTACCGGAAGGAAAAATTTAGGGGGGCGGCAAGAAATTTGCCCGACTTTTCCGGATTTTGCCCGACAAGTACCGAAAAAGTTTTTTCCGGAATTTGTTTTGGCGACCTCCCCCACCCCGTCGCCAAAAAAATTTTGGTCTGTGTACCATTTTAGGGGTCAAAAATTTTTTCCGGACATACCAAAATTATCCGGAACCTACAAAAATTTGGGAAACTTCACGAAATTTTCCACAAAATTTACAGAATTTGTCCCATTTATTTTTTTAATTAACCAAAATTGCCCGACTGGGGGCAACCGCCCCCCCCCGCCTGGTACGCCCATGAATATGTTCTATTTTTCTGTGGCGACGGCATAACAAAATACGACACAAAAATGTACATTCGAATTTAATATAGCCGTGTTTACACTACGAGCCTAGGCCCACAGGCGGCCCAATCTCTGAACGTCCTATATATTTTGAATATTTACCGTTATAATATTTTAAAATAACAAAATAATTCAAAAAATATTACCAATATATGTAAAAAATATATCTCACTTGTTAATAGAATCCATTTGTTGTGTTTGCAATCGCTTTACGTTTTCGTCGTACTTGAACGGTCGTCAGTACTGGCACTGAACGACACGGCCATACTATGCCGTCGCCACAGAAAAATAGAACATATTGATAAAAATTATAGGCCTAGGGCGGAGGGAAACACGTGGAATGTTCTATTATACTTTTAGTTTTTTAAATCAATCAACTAAATCAATCTACTGAATCAAGGAAAGAATAATCGGTCTTTCTGAATTCTGGTATATTTTTGAAATATACAAGTTCGTGACATTTATGAATCTGGGCAAACTGAATGAATGTGGCATAACATTCAAAAACAAAGCTCTCTCAGCGTGTCAGGAAAAGAATATTACGACTATATTTACAAAAAGGGTTTCACTAGCTGTGGTAGTTTCTTTCATCTGAGATATGTTACTATGTTAGTCAGAAAGAAATTGTTTACTTTTAGCGCCTCTCAAGAAATACGTTAATTAGCTATAAATTATGCAAAAATCATTGATTATGAGCTCCAGAAAATCTTAACTCGCGCCAAATACATATTGATACCCGCAGGTTTTTCTTCAGATCTTCTGAAAATAAGTATAAATCATTACAGCCAAGCACATTTCAGCGTAATTTTAGGTCCCCATTTGGAGATCTCAGGCTTCGATTTTAGTGTAATTTTGTAGACAGAACAAGAAGCAAAAAGCGGTGCGCCGTCAAGTTGCTCTCGTTTATTCACGATTTATTCAAATGCTCTTATTTTTTGGAACAGGGAACCTGAATTGTATCTTAACTTGTTCAGGCGCGGATCCAGACCGTGGCAAAAGTGGCTCGAGCCACGGTCAGATTTTTCCCACCTAGGATTTTCCGGGGTTCACCTTTGTTGGATACTACATTAGACTGCATTACGCATTTTTAAGAAGTATATATTAGTTATTTGAAATACAGCAAAATTGAGCAAATATAGGTCATATAGGTCTATAGCAAACAATTTGAATAATATCTTTCGTAATTGTTCTCATATTACAGTAATATGTGCTAAAAGCAGGAAAAACTTCCGAAATATATTCCTTGTTCAATAGTATAATTATCCAGTTAAACACTGAACTATAAAAACTGCCGAAAGCGTGCCGAATTGTGCCGAATATGTTCGGAAAACAGTCGTAAATTCGAAGCTGCGATCACAGCCACAAAATGCCACGGTCAGCGTGCAAAAAAATTGCGCAATTGTTACTAAATATAGTAACTTTCTGCCAGGGTGCAGCGTTGCAAACCAATCACAGGGCAAGTTGTGGTCATGTGCGCCACGGTCTGCCACGGTGGCTCTGTTTTGATTGCGCAATACAAATGATCAACAATAAAGTTCGATACTTGTCGACTTGACGGGATAAAGAATAATACATCACAAGCTACATGGATGCTATCAGGATGGAAGCTTTTAAAAAAAGTCTATGTTCTTAGCAAGCTCGTCGAAATCTTTCAACAAGCAAACCTAAGCGAACATATTTCAGGGGAATTATCGCTCTTGAGGCAACAATATGATGAATTTATCACTGAAGAAAGGCTGCGCCGTATAAAATCTACTGGCGACATCGTGCTTGCTGCCAACGTGCGAATTTTCAAAACTGCAGTTCTCCAAGAGCCAAACTGAAAGATCTGGGCCTAATGTTCCTGTTAGGTAAGAATTTTTAATCGACTTATATTAAATTTGCATTTTATACGCTGGGGTCAGGGAATATAAATTTGTGCATGCAAATTTGTATGTATGTAAATTTTTGTTAGTGAAATAGTAATATGATCTCGAACACATGGCGGTTAATAAAATATAAATTGCATTTATCCGCTATGTAGTCGTGAAATATTAGTAAAAACTCTGTTTAAAACTGTTATCAGTATTTTGCTACTGTTTACGGCTACAACATTTGATTGTCGACTGTAAAATGAAATGTTTACTTCTGTATTGGGTCTATATAGTCGTCTATTTGGTTTCACCAAGCTTTAAATATAGCGCCTTAATATTTGTAGGTTGACCAGGGGTCGGTTGTTCTAAGCTAAGGCTAATCCTTGGTTAAAATTTAACCTAGTGTTTTTGTTTGTGTGTTTCTGCATGCCTGTTTACATCGAAGCTTTGAAGAAAACTTTCATTCATCCAGACAAGATTTCTGAAGAAGTATTTCTAAATGGCTTGTGTGATGTTACTCTGAGTGTATATCCACACCGGGCAGGGTTGAAAAATATGCCTGGCCATGGTGGGATTGGAACCTACGACCTTTGGAATACTAGCCCAATGCTTTGCCAACTGAGCTATGCGGTCAGGTCGGTTTGAGTATGCAATACTTTGGAACTGAGTCTAGTTCCTTCGATATCAGTGTAATCTAATAATCATGATATTTGCTGTGTTGGACTGTTAGTGTATGTACTCAGGTGAATAAGATGCTTGTGTGATGTTACTCTGAGTGTATATCCACACCGGGCAGGCTTGAAAAATATGCCTGGCCACAGTGGGATTCGAACCTACAACCTTTGGAATACTAGCCCTGGAATGATCTGCCAAGGAATACTAGCCCAATGCTCTCCCAATGCTTTTGCCAAAGGTCATAGGTTCGAATCCCACCATGGCCAGGCATATTTTTCAAGCCTGCCCGGTGTGGATATACACTCAGAGTAACATGACACAATTTGGATTCTTGCACTTCACTTGGTGGAATTAATATTAGAATGTTAGGGTTAGTAATCCAAGTGAGAATATATACATTTTAAGACCTAACCAGGAACGACTGCGAAAAATGCAGCACAAGGTCCTCTGGTAAGAATTGCAGGGCCGTAGGTTCATTTCCTACCAGAGGACTTGTGCTGCATTTTTCGCAGTTGTTCCTGGTTAGGTCTTAAAATGTATATATTCTCACTTGGATTACTAACCCTAACATTCTAATAACATCACACAAGCATCTTATTCACCAGAGTACATTACACCAACACAGCAAATATTTTTAACAACTGGCCCCTGGAGGGTGACTACCTCACAGGTGTTTGTTGTGGATGAATATTGATGTTGTTGTGGATGATGTCATCCTGATCCTAATCCTGACATTAAAACCTAATCCCGAATCTAAAACTGCAACAAAATCCCATGAGTTAGTCAAGGCCAGCTGTGAATTTGATGTCATCATGATGTTACTCAAATTACACAAAGACATTGTAGGGGGCCTCATTGTTAAAAGAATTAT